CATTCAGGACTTTGAATTATATCTTCCCACTCCCTTCGGGCCTGTAGTGTTTGTGTAGAGAAATCAGCTGAGAGCCTATGAGGGTTCCTTTGTAACTCACTCTTTGTTTTTCTCGTGCTGCCTTTAGGATCATTTCTTTATCCTTGACTCTGGCCATCTTGATTATGATATGTCTTGGTGTGGGTCTGTTTGGGTTCTTCCTATTTAGGACCCTTTGAGCCTCCTGTACTTGAATATTTGATTCCTTCTTTAGGTTTGGGAAGTTTTCAGCCATGATTTCTTCAAATACCTTTTCCATCCCCTTTGTTCTTTCCTCCCCTTTCTGGAACCCCTATTATGCATAGTTGGGCATGCTTTATATTATCCCATAAGTCCCTTATATTGTTTTCATTGTTTTTTATTTGTTTTTCTCTCAGCTGTTCTGATTGGGTGCTTTCTGTTGTCCTGTCTTCTAGGTCACTTATTCGTTCCTCTGCATTATGTAGCCTGCTTTGTACAGACTATAGGCCAACTCTCACCTCAACAAATGAGTTTAACTCATTCTACTTGGTTCTTCTTTATAGCTTCTATTTCATTTTTGACATATTTTATATCTCTAAACACTATTTCCTTTATTTCCTTCAGTACTTTGATCAATCCTTTTTTGAAATCTTGATCTAGTAGGCCATCAATGTCTATTTCCTTGATTGTGCTTTCAGGGGATTTCTATTGATCTTTTAATTGGGAGTGGTTCCTCTGCTTCTTCATATTGCTTATATCTCTCTGGCACTGGTGGGTGGGTGAGTCACTCCCCCTCCCGATGTCACAGTCAGATGCTGCACTCGGGTGAGGCAGGTGGGCAGATCGTGCCCTCTCCCAGCACCATACTCAGGTGCTGTGTTCCTGCCAGGAAGGCAGGTTGCTGCCTACCCTCTCCTGGTGCCAGTCGCGCCGCTGCTCTGTGCAGCCTCCTGCTCCACCTTGGGTTGGCACTCCGTAGGTGGGCTCTGGGAAGACCACAGAACAGCCCTGCCTCTGCTCTGTGCCAAATCTCAGTTCCTTGTTTGTCTTGGCAGTGCAAGGTGCCAGGGCAGAAAGATCATATCTGCCTCGGGCTGTAAACAAGTCTCATTCCTGCCCAGGATGTTGCCGAGCCACCGGGTGCAGATTCAGGGCTCAGCCCCACCCCCGCCCAGGCACTGCACACAGGAGGATATGGTGGCTGTGGCTGTGCCCCACCTCTCTTCTCACGAGAAGTTCCAGTAATGGTGCTGTGGGTCTGAGGAGACAAAGGCTATGGCGCCCCTCCCCCCCCAGGGCACATCAGCCGTGTTGCTTTGCTTTTTTCGCAATTTATGGAGGACTGAGGTTGTTCTGCTATGTATCCCCTCCCAGCCACAGCCCACAGCACCCTGCAGTCCCTGGGGTTGCCTCAGTGCAGCTGCCCCAGTCCTCCGTCCAGCTTGGGCGGCCTGTCCTAGCCCCCAGCTGCTGGCTCGCATCTCGGGCTGAGTGTTGCAGGGGCCCTTTGTGCCCATTTAACTTAGTTCTGTTGGTCAAGGGTGCCCGGGGCAGATCTGAGCCTTGGAGACTCCCCCTCCGTACCGTTGCCCTCTTCATTGGAGAGCGGATGACCCAGTGAACGAGCGCTAGTCCTGCTTTGCCGCTCCCTTCCCGCGGGTTCGGTCCCATACTGTTTTGCTTTTTCTTCTTTCTTTTTTCCTTTTCTCCTACCAGATTTTTGGCGTCTTTGTCTTTCGAAGAAGGCGATGTTCTGTCAGAGTTCCGCAGGTGCTCTGGTTGGCTGAGTGGGTCTGTAGATGTGAGTTTTGGTGTATTTGTGGGAGAGGGTGAGCTACAAGCGTCCTTCTACTCCTCCATCTTTCTTCTTTCTTGACAGTTTCTTTTTAATCTTTTTTTTTCTTTGAGATTTTTTACCAGGATCCTGAGTTTGCAGTTCATGTTTGGTAACTTGACTGTGTGTGGTTGTGATTTCCTCCTCATAGCACCCCTCCTCTCATAGCCTGGTTGTATAATATTCAAGGGCCTGTTCTAGTTTACTGTTGGATTTTTGAATCCAAAGAATTTGGAAGAAATTCAAAAACGCAATGTGATGGAGGCAACAAAAGCATCTACCTAAAAAGCTAAGGTAGCTTGATAAGGCATACTTCTGGGACCAGGAGATCAAATGTGGAGCCGGATGGATTTGTTATTTCCCTGCCCTCTTGTCAGTAGGCAGCATTGAAAGTAAGGTGCATGAAAAGGATAGCATTTACCTTGTCTTTTTCTGGATGTGTTTAGGGCACAGTCCCACATCAGGCAGTTGGCCTGTAATTAGAATGGGTTGCTGGGCATTGGGATATTGAGATGAATGCGATGTGACCTTGGCTGTCCAGTGAGGGCAGGTGTGTTTCAGGCAGAGGAAATGGTGTAAGCAAAATCCTGGAAGATTGAAAGAGAACCTCTGGCCTCTGGGGGAGGGGGAAGTGGGATTTCACTTTGGGGATCAAGGTAAAGAACTGTGTGGTGCAAGTAGGTCAGAGGAGGCAAATGAGCAAAAACGTAAACTCTAAGAGGGTCCTTTCCCTTACATGAACTTGTTTGGTGTTCTCAAGCAGGTACGTGAAGTGAGTCAAACAGGAATCATTGTATTATCCCCATTATCTAAATGAGGAAACAGATTGATAGTGATTAAACTACTTCTCAAGGGCACAGAATGAGTTGGTGGCAACATGGGGCCCAGAACCCAAGTCTCTGAGAGTCTTACCTCAGAAATCTGACAAGGCAGCTCGTTGTTCCATTAAGGGATCATTATTCTGCTGTGATTTGATGGTTTAGAGCATGGACTTTGGAGAGAATCTTTCCTGGATTCTGCCACTTTGGGCAAATCACTTCCAATTTCCCTGACCTTGGTTTTGAGGCAAATAACAGTGCATTCCTTATTGAGTTGTGAGTATTAATAGGAATATTAATGGCACAGGATATCAGGCACACAGTAATAGTCAAGATAATTATCACTATGTAGAGCTTACAGTGTGATGTGTACTTTCCTAAGCACTTTATATGTACTAACTTATATAATCCACACAACAGTCAAATGCAGTTGGTAATGTTATTATCATCATTTTTAAAGATTAGGAAACTGAGGCACAGAGAGGATATGTGAGTTGTCTGACATCAGTCAGCTTGGTGAGCATAGAAGTGTATTTTTTTCAATTTTTTTTTCTTTGATGGAGTGGCACAAAGTGGCACTTATGGCAAGTACTCAAAATAGAAGTGTTAGAATTGGGTTGCTCCTATCTGGTACAGTGGGTGGACCAGATGACACTGAGTAGTCCTACTGGTCTGATCATCCTCAGCTTAGCAAATGGTACCTTAAAAAATCATCTGACCATCTTTGTATGGCATTGGCCCCTTCTTATAGCTTTCTTTCACTTCATACACATTCAGAATGGACTCTGATACATCTTCCTGCCTGCTTCGAGGTTGGGCATGACAGACTGGTGTCACTCTCAGCTTCCCATCCCTCCAACAGAAAAGCCCTGCATGGCTCCCTCACTCTGAGGAATTCCTCTTCTAGCCCTGGGCCTTCAGAGGTTCTGAGCTAGTATGTGGGCCCCTCAGGGAGGAGTGTTATACCTAAGTTCCAGGGTACCCCTGAGGTGTAATCTGGAGTCATGCTAGTATCCCTGAGCTTTCTTTCTGAGGTTGTGTTATTAGAAAATATTTCTATTGAACTCCCTTTTTCTTTCTCATCCCTTAGACTGAACAAAAAGTAGTATGCTTGAGAATACCATTTCCAGCTACTTGTTTCTTTAGGCCACTGCCTTACCTCAGCTGTTTGCCTCTAAATGTTTTGGAGGAGGGGTGCAGGAGCCCCACCCCCATCTCTAACCTTGACTTAAAGCTTTTGAGTGCAAGGCTGAGATCTCAGCATCATAGTATCAGGGTTAGGGCCTTAGAGATCATCCTCACTTACTTCATTTAACAGCTGGAAAAACTGAGACCCAGAAGAAGGGACTGACCCACCAGTGATTTTTTGGTCTAGAGAGAGCATAATGTAGTGGCAAAAGTGAGAACACTCTCTGGAGCTGCAGAATTGGGGCTGAATTGTGGATCTTTGGCTAACTAGCTGGGTGATCTTGGTTGATCACTAGACCTCTTGGTACTTGAGACAATAAGATGACAGCAAGAATATCTATTTCCAAGGGCTATTGTGAGACTCAGAAGAGACAGAGTGAAAGTACATATCACAATGTCTAACCCCTGTAGGTGTTCAGTAAATACTAATTCTCCTAAGTCAGAACGGTCACTGCTCTTTGTCCCCATGGCTTGCCTTGTGTTCCATGAGTTCTGAGCATACTTACATTAGATTCCTCCCCTGATATGTAAGCTCCTTGAGAATAGGACCAAGTCTGGCTTGACATCTGACATACACCTCCCACTTATCTCTGACCTATCAAGAGTTACCATAAAGAAGAGGCCCTTGGAAACTCTGTAGAATAGAATTAGCTGGGAGTTAGGTGTCTTGGTGGGGTTTTTTGTATGTGTCTGTGTTTGATTCTACGTAGCAACGAGGATAAGCAAGTTGTTCAGGCTCTGTAGATAACAGACCCAGGAAGCATGTGTTGATAAAGTTTCTAATCCAATCAATAGATTTTAATGAACTTAGAAAAGAAGAAAAATTAAAATTAAGAGGATGAATGGATTCTATTTCTCTCCCTCAATCATAATCTCTTCCTTTTCCTCCCTTGTCTGGGTTTATTTGCTTGGGAAGCAGAGAGACTTCTATAACCTTCTGAGGTTTACTCTTCAGGTACAAGAAAGAGACTAAAAACTAGAACTGGATGAAAAATTAGAGTAGAAAGAGAGATTCATAGAGAAAAAGAGGGAGAATGAGAGAGAGACAGACACTGATACTGAACCTCATGGTAGCTAGTGCCTCTGGGGCCAGAGAGCAACTGGCATAGAGGGACTGTAGCAGTCCTGGATAGTAAGGCTCACTAGACCTCAGGGTAAACAATAGTATGGATTTTTCTAGCTCATGAAGCCTTTCAGGGATTTCCAGGGGTCCCTTCATCTTTTTTTTTTCCACCAGGCCCTTTCTGTCCTCTTCCTGTCCCAGCCTATGCCCAGACCTAGGTGCCTCCAGGCAAGTGACAGGGCCATCCCTCCTGCTTGGCTGCCTCTCACTATCACATGTCCTTCCCAGGGTGAGGACATCCTAGACAGGAGCTCGGAGCTGATCTACACTGGGGAGATGGCCTGGATCTACCAGCCCTACGGCCGCAACCAGCAGCGGGTCTTCTTCCTGTTTGACCACCAGATGGTCCTCTGCAAGAAGGTAACCCCACCCCTTTCTTCCCTGAGATGGACATCTCAGGGTACACCAGATCCTCCCTATCCATCATCCCCAGCTCCCAGTGAAATGGGCTAACCCTGCTGGGTTAAAAATAGACAAGAGATGGGCAGCAATTCCATATCAGGATCACTGGTATGACATGAACATCACATGTAGGGCTGACTTATTAGCAGTGAAACTCTGAAAATTGGTAAATTTTGTCTTGGTATCTTTTTTACCCTTTACCCTCCTGCCCTTCTCACTCTCTTCTACCCACAGCTGATAGCCTGTTGGTTTGCAGCAGTTGTTAAAAAAATATTGAAATATTTCTACTCCAATTGGTGAACAGTGGCTTCACTGAGTACCTCCCCCAATTTCTACTCTAATGGCTCTGGCCATCTGGCTCCTTAATGCCCTAGGAGCCAACAAGGGACCTCCTACCTTACCCTTGCAGGTAGGTACATTTGTGATATAGGAGTTTTCCCTGTTACCCTACCTATTTCCTATTCAAGGTACTTCACATCCCAGTAACTCTCAACTGTGCTCTTCTTTACCCTTCCTTACCTATAATCCATTTGAAAAGTCTTGCTCTTGTGATAAACCCATGCCTGACTCAGATGAGTGTTGTTTTCTTGGTATCTTCTCCTTGGCAAGTAGGAGGATGGCATATGTTCTTAGCCTGATTCCTCCTGACAAGATACTTTTCCTTTACCTCCTCCCTTAGGATAGGGAGTTCAGATCACTTTTGGCTCCAGGGACTGGCTGGGATGAATTTGGGACTAGAGAAAGTAAAAGAGGAGGGAAAAACCAAAGAATGCTTAGAGTAACTTTTTAAATTCACCACCTTACTTTTGTCTCTTTCTACATAATCCAGTCCCTTTCTTCTCTTTCTTACCCAGTAGCAAATGCCCCTGAAAGGGAGCCAAGTCATAAAACACCAGATTAAACCTTTTCCATCTTTTCCAACCTAGGACATGAACCACACATTTGTTTAAATCTTTGTCCATTTGCCTTTGACAGTGGATTGAGGGAAGAAATTGAGTTTTGAGTCATGCTGTCTCAGTGTTTGCGGCTAAGCTTTAAATGCCAGTTCTGGAACCAATAGCTGGCTAGTTAACAGAGATAATTACTACCTTGGTCTAGAGCTGACCCTGGTAGACAGAACTTTTATGAATCTAGAACTTAGCCAAACACCCAGGCCTCTTATAAGCTCCCCTAACTCTTCCTTAGACTTCCATCAAATCAGGAGGCAGGATTTTTGAGGGTTAATTTAGGTAGCCAAGGAAATTTTCAGCATATCTGCCATGTCACCAATTGTCATGTGCCAGTTCTTCCCCTTGAAGCATGTTTACACTCAGAACAACCAGTCCTAGGGAGATATAGCAAAACTATTAGGAAGCTAGTTTATTTTGTGGTCACCCATCACTCAGACTCTTGTTAATTTGGGCATCTTTCAGCCAAGGCTAAGATTACTTTAAGTAAAATGTGAAACTCGGCTCTAGGAAGCAGTAGTTATAGGAGACAGGGCCAGGAACAAAATGGTGAGGCAAAGGCTAGGAATAAATGGAAGAAACAAGATGAACAGAGGGATTAGTTCAGGAGCTAGTGTTAACCAAACTCAGGTCTGGTTGCTCACTGCTCAAAAATTATACCTAAGATGCAAGTGTTGGTAGAAAGGAAATTTGTTTTTAATGAGAATGCTGGCGATCTGGGGAGATGGTGAACTCAGTGTTCCCCCAACACCATCTCTGAAGATTCGGTTCAGCTATGAAAGTTTTAAAGGAAGAAGAGGAAGTAATCTCAGTTAATCACTGAGCTAGGGGGTCAGAGTCATTGCCATCCCCCACTGCGTGCAGGCTTGTTGACTTGTGATCTTTCTTTAGATGCTATCTTGTTCACACAGTTTGTTCATAAGATTACTGAAGGGGAAGCTAGGGAAGAAATCTGATCATTTGTTAATTACTTATTCTTTCTTTGATCTATGGATAAATCAACAGGTTAGGCAAGGTATCGTGTGATCAAAAGATTTGAAAAGTGTGCTTGGACCAGAGATGAATGAGCATGGGGCCCCCTGATTTAAAAGTTAGTTACAGTGTAGCTTTGCTAAAGTGACAAGAAAAGGGGTTTCCTACTGAGGGTGGTTTCCTGCAAAGAGCTGCTTTATAAATCCACCCCCTTTCAAGTATAATTCCATTTCTATGGGATTATGGGTAAAGGTCCGACTTCTGTAACTGCTTTATGCTGAAAAAAATTCTTAGGGTGAAAGATACCAACATGCAGTTGAAGCATCTCTTTGTTGAAAAATTTAGTTGCCTGTTTACATACATAGGCAGAGCAACCTATAGTTATTTTGATACCCACAAAAATATAGATTATTATGAGCAATAGTATTAATCCCATTCTCTTAAGGCCAGTTCTTAGAATTGTGCTAGCCTTAGATTCAGTATTGCTCAAGATGGAGCAGCTTATTTCATGGCTGCAGTCTGGTCATCCTGCAGTTAGCTTTTTTCCTCTGGTGGCAGTTATAGTACCTGTAAAACTACTCAGGAATGTGCATCAGACACTGAGTCTGTGGCTTTGTTGTCCTAATCACTAACTTCTTGAGCCTGCTCTTTTGTGACTCTGGGAGATTTCAGCTTATCTACAAACAAGAGGCAGGAGACATAGAGGGCCTTTTTACTTGGGGGTCCCACAGAGTTCTACTTGATTCCAGTCCCCCCTTTTCTTTGATACATCTCAGTTATGAGGAGGAACAGGTTCAGAACATGAAAAGGAGTAATGTTTTGGATAGAGCTGTTAATCATAAACTTGACAGAGGAATGCACAGGGTCCTGCTCAGTTTCACCAGCAGACACTGCTTTGATAATGGTTGGCAGTGTCTGAGTCTTGACACAGCTTAGAAAATTCAAGTTCTCTGCAATACAGGAACATATATGAAATCACATCCACAGTGACCGCCTAGTTTTACCTTGGATGTCTAAACCATAGCTACTCCATTCTGAGTTTCAAATGCATTTCTTTCCTCAGTGGCCAAAGTAGATGTACAAAGCATGTCCAAAAGGCCACAAAACAGTTCACTTTGGTCAGTAAAGTTTAAGTTAAACCATATATGAATAGGAATAACTTCCCCATACCTCAATATGTGCAGATTCTTCCATCATTTCCCCTTTTGATTGCAAATATTTCAGTAGAAAGCATTGACAATCAAAATATCTGTCCCTCAATGCTTGGTTGATGGCTCCTGCCCCAGGTTCAGATTCTGTCTCTCTGTGCTAGGCCTCCTTTATATTTGCCTAGTTATCCACATTGGAAGCAAACTAGTTAGATATCATAAACAGGCTCAGAGGTATGTTAATGGGAAAACACTTTATAGGCCATACATTTTATCACTTACATACCCAATTGTTACATAAGTATTGTACATGTGCTTTTAGCAATAGACTTAAAGTAAGCAGTGTTATATATCATGAGTAGTTATACTCTGTGACAACTCCATTAGAGAATTCTTTTCATATCCTAAATACTGGGGGCAACAGTGTGGTTAAAAGTAAAACAGTAACTTTCAGTGTTGATAGACAAACGTTTGGTAAACAGTTCAATTAGATTAGTATGATAGGTCTTATAGGCCTGGTCCAGACTCCTGAGTCAGCTACCCACCACTGTTGTTTTCTCTTCTTATTCTGGTGTGAATGTCATTTGAGGTCAGCAGCCCCCTTGACAGGCCAGTCCAATGTAGAGGCCCTTCTCAAGTGGGAGGTATGAATCCAAGTCAATTTTATTTAGTTTCATTGCACATGGGCTGGTTAACAGTACCTGATAAGGGTCGTTTTATTTAGGTTGGAGGCAGTCCTTTAAATGATGCTTCTTCCAGTATAGTTCCCTGGCTGCAGGTCATGTGGCATCTGATTTTTATCCAAGGGTAGACCGCTGTGATAAGCCTCAGAAACAAAGTTAGATTATCCAAACCTTACTGTAATATAACAAAGCAACAAAGAGCCATCATCTGGGGAGTGAGTCTTAGGCAGTAAATAGTGACCCTAGTTAACAAAACTAGAAATTAATGTCCATTAAAACATAGCCTTTTTCTCTCTAAAATTACCCTAATTTTTACCAAAAATAGACACATTAAGCTTAGTTTTTTTTTTCAAAGTGAATCTGGTTAATTGATAATATAGGCTCTTTTATGGCTGTGCTGGAACTTTTCATAAGGAATCTTAGATGAAACTTTTTAACAGGCCTTTAGGAAAGCCATACCATGGGCTAGTCACAGATTTCATTTTACAAATTTGAATGAGTTCCTCTCTTTTTAAGGTCCCCAAAATACCTTGAGATGTTTGCACCTATTAAGATGTGGCCTTCCTTATTTACTTATAAGTCTGCTGGGAACATAAGTGTCTCCAGTTTCTGGAGAGATCAGGTAGAGAGGAAAAATGCTTCAATTCTACTTACAAAGGTATAATTTATTATTTTTGGTAGCTTTAATTGCATATTTAAATTATAATCCTCAACTCTTAAATCCTTAATTTCTAGTGAAAACTAAAAATTAAGCAATTATGAACTGTCTTTTACATTAGCATTTTTATATTCATCATCAGCACCTTCTGAACACCTTTAGCTTCTCTGTAAAGGGAAACCAATATTCAGTAATTACTATTTCAATATCTTATTTTATTTAGGAATGACCTACTATTCAGTAAACTTCCATCGCTTAACTCAATTTAGCATAACTCTAAAATTTCAAGTTACCAAATATCTGGAGAGCTCATGTTCAAATAGATGTTCCTGAAATATTATTTATAAGGAGTTCACCCAAAAGCACTTATCTCATTTGCATTCAACTTTCTTATAAGAATTTCATCACACCAAGTTATTTTTCTTGCTGGCAAATTTGCAACAGCTATAAGAAGATCTTATTTGACTTCTATTAAACCTATGTACAATAAAAACATTATACCTAATATTGATGACTCTAAAGACATGTCTATATTAAACAGATCAACAAA